GGGCCAAACAAGAAGATTGAAGCTTTGCTTCAAGAAATGAAGATACAGCTCACTCACGTTGAAGATGACACAAGACGATTGTAAAAGATTAGACGAAATGTGTGAGAGTTGTGTTGAGAATTTTGTTTTCAGTTTTTGGGTTGCGCGCAGTGTCTAATTAAGAGACTTGTTGTATTCAGTTCTGCTAACTGACTTCCTCAAAGATTCAGTAATTAACTGTATGGAGCTGCTTCTTGGGCAGTTCTCAGTAGGAAAATGAAATAATATTACAATTGCTACATTTTCTAATGTAATCAGCTTTGCTTAGATTTTAAATTTTATTATCTTCAGAGCCAAACAAGACGGTTGAAACTCTGCTACAAGAAATGAAGAAACAACGCGCTCACCTTGACGTTGAGATCAAAATCCTCAAAGGGAACAAGACGATGGAGAAAGGTTAGACAGAATCTCTTTTTGCGTGTTTATGATTTCCTTTCTTGTTTTTGGATTGAAGAGACTAATTTAGAGAATTGTTGGATAACTGGCTTTCTAAAAAGATTCAGAAATTAACTGGGGTTGCTTTCTAGGCAGTTCTATCGTGAAATAGAGATAGTTTCCTATGCAATCGCTTAAGACAATAAATTTTATTATCTCCAGAGCAACACAAGACCATGGAGACTATCCTTCAAGAAATGAAGAAACAACTAAATCACGTTGAAGATGGCATCAACATCCTAAAAGGGAAAAAACATCGTTGAAAGGTTTGTTGTTCTCAGTGTAAATTTCTATTTCTCTCTCTGACCTGTGACCTGTTTTTCTTCCCGGGAGCATTTTTTAGACCGAAATACTTTCAAAAGGCCCGTGGCGAGCTTTTCCAAAGGATGCCATGATGGAAATTCTTCCCTGACTTTGTTGTCTTTATTCCCCATCACCTCAAAATGTATATGACGATAGATTTAGATACAATCATATCTGATGAGTTTTTCAATTTTATTACATCCACAGCCTGAACAACTGAAGAGATGGAAACTATCCTTAAATAGGTGGAGAAACAACTTACTCACGTTAAAGATGACATCAACATCATCAAAGACAACACCACTTTGGTGAAACGTACGTATATTAGATATGTTTCGGTACTGTTTCCTCTATCGGAGTGCATGTGATTGATTTAGCAAGTAGTAGGTTTAATTGTCAAA